GTCATTTGGGACCATGAGAAAAAAGGTAGTAACGGCTAACATGTTGTCAGCCTCGTGAGCATGACATTCGGTCGACCTACCGTCACGTCCAATCTATCAGCAAACGAACTACTCTCCAGATCCCATTCCGGCGCAGACCAGAGTCTCGAGCAGCCCAAGCTGGAGTTCATCACCCAAAGCTTCAAGCTGAGCTTGATACTCGAGAACATCCTCTCACAAGTCTACCAGGCGTGGCGAAACCGTTATCCCGCCCAGAGAGCAAGTTGCGGCACGCGGGGAGGAGGAGGAGGAGGAGGCATAGGAGGACTCAGCTTCGACGCCATTGTCGAGCTCGACTCCAAATTAACCGACTTTGAGGACTTGGTACCGCCGCTCCTCTCGTGGGGAGGCGAGTCTGAAGCTTCCGTGCTGGACGGGGTCTCGTCTCCAGATGACCTCCGTATCCTCGCGACGCAAAAGCACGTTCTACACGCAAGGTACGCGCCGCCATTCTTGTGTACTCGATATCAGACGGGAGCCGGGGACTAAACATGGGGGATACTTCTTTGGATATAGGTTCTTGTATCTCCGCCTCATGCTCCACAGGCCGATTCTCACCGATCTCTCTGCGGAGTACGCCCGACCTCATCGGGACACCGCCGGTGGCCGCCCATCATCGGAAGCAGCGTCCAGGTCGCGGGACAAGGGCCTCAGGGCTCCGTTCCTGACGGAGTGTGCTAGGGCGTGTGTAGACGCGGCCATGCAGCTCATTGATCTGGTGCAGGGCTCGTATCAGACGGACACTACGGGGGCGTGGTGGTGGAATAGCTTGTGTGAGACACTTCCACCTTCATTTCTTCTCTTTGATTCCCCAAGGCGATTGGTCCTCATTTGAGTATAGTAAGCAGAAAAGATGGCTAACGCGAGATCATATAAATATCACAGATGCCTGTGCCGCCGGCTTAGTCCTGATCGTCTGCCGCCTCTGTCCACGCCTCTGGACAGGGCTGGACCACACAGCAACGTCTGCGTCGTGGGAGCAATGCCAGGGCATTCTGCAGGGCATCGCGGCGTTCAGCGTTTCGGCTCGCAAGTCGCTGGATCTGCTGCGCAAGATTGACGGGGCCGTCACACAATTACAAGCAGGTGAGCCTTTTTGTTTTTCTCGCTCAAATGGGTATGCCGTCATTACAGCAAAGCTGACACGGTACGTTTTGTTTACTATAGCTAGGGAACCATCGGGACAACAGATGGACCCTGAGATGAATTGCGCGTCGGGGTTGGAGGAGAGCTGGTCGCTCCCGGCGGATATCGATGTCTCGCTGCTTCTTGAGCCTGATCCTATGTCTTTCTTTCGCGGGTGGGAGGTGATGGGTTACGAGACTTTGAACTCATGATAGAAAGTGGAGCGAATTTTTAAGAGGGAGAGACAGAGGGACAGAGAGAAAGAGAGGCAACATCAAAGTGGTAACAAAAGAAGCAGAGCTTTCTTTACTTTGTATGTGATAGTGTAGAATTCATTCCAATTTCTACCTTTGCTGGCTGCTCGGGCGATTCTCGATATCTTTTACACGGTATTATTACACAGCATCAGTGAATACTCCCACTGTCTCGATAGACTTTGATAATGTAGACTATAAGTCCGAATCTACCTTGCACCGCGCAGAAGAGGCAGGCACGAGATTCAAATGCCAAAATCAAAAGCGTTTCTATAGAAAAGGGGGAGGGCGAGCATTCAATTCAGTCCCGCATCAGTTTAGCGTCCTCCAAAACACCAGCAACCTGAGCCTCTCGCAGGATGAGAGACTCGTAATGCTTGTTCCTCATGTCGACCTTGACAGGGAAGGGCTCGCCCGTGGCCTCCAGGTTCAGGATGTTTCTGTTGTACGGTCCGTTCTAGAAGGAGGTCTCTAGTTAGTGCTGTTACAAAATCCGAATCCGAGGGACAAAGAGGGAAAACCACTCACAGGCTTGTAGTCGACGCACTGAACCAGCCTAGCGATATTCAAAAACATGCTACGCTGAGCCAGGCGGTATCCCACACATATCCTCCGGCCGCCGCCAAAAGCCCACAACCCATGCGCGATATCCGCCTCGTGACCGTCCAGCCACCTCTCGGGCTTGAACTCGTCCGGATCCTCGCACTCGTTGGCGACGGCGGGCCCGTTGATGGCGAACCCGGTGCCCGCGGGGAAATAGTACCCCTCAAACTCCATGTCCGCGGACGTCGTGTGATCCGGCGTGAGCGGGAAGATGACGTGCCAGCGCAGGATCTCCTTGGCCATGGCGCAAATGTACTTCAGGTCGTCCATGTCGGCGAGGGTGGGCAGACGGGCCTGCTCGTCGACGCCGCAGAGGGCGTCGACCTCTGCGCGCGCCGCCTTGAACACGGCCGGGTACTCGAGCGCCGCCATGGTCATGATGTTGAGAGCCTCGCGGGTGGTGTCGCTGCCGGCCTCGATGAGCTGCATGGCAACGTACATGCCGTCGACGTGGTCGCCCTTGTACTTGGTGTCCGGGTGGAGCAGCGTGTCGCGGACAAAGGACGGGGGCGCGGTGCCGTTTTCGACCTTGGCGGCGATGGGGCTGTACCAGCGGTCGTAGAGGTCGTAGTTCCACTGGCCGAGGGCCTCCCAGTGCGGGCGCCAGAGCTGGAGGAAGCGCGGGAGCTTTGCGAGGTCGGGGAACCAGTCGATGATGGAGCTGCCGATGGAGCCGACGAAGAAGGTGACTGCGTTTTGCATGTCGACGAGCTCCTCCTCGCTCTTGACGAGGCGCTCGCCGAGGGCGATGCGGTGGATGACCGAGTTGGCGTAGCGGTAGTGGTGGCGGTACCACATGCCCGGCTTGAAGACGTACTCGGCCATCATCTGGGTGCTCTCGAGCTCCTGGAACTCGCCGTACTGGCGGAGGGCGGTGCCGCTGAGGAGGGAGTGCATGACGCGCCGGGGCTCGGCCCAGTCCTTTTGGGACATGATGAGGGACTTGCGGTTGCGGCCGACGATGTCGTTGGAGATGGGCATGGGGGTTCGGGTGCTCGTCTGGCTGCTTCGCTTGGCGATGATTTCGCTGACGACGCGGCTGCTGTTGAGGAGGACTAGGGTCTTTGAGCCTAGGTGGAGGGTGGTCATTTCTCCGTATTTTGCCATGGAGAGGAGCTGGTATATTTTGGATCAGACGTTAGATTAATGTTCACGCACAGCTCCACACATGAAGAGATGGATACGTACGCCTCTGTTGTAGGGGTCTCCTTTACTGGCACTGACTTGAAGCAGGTTCCCGAACAGGGGAACGCCTTCGGGGCCTGGTGGTAGAACGGGACGTCTTCCATCTTTTCCTCTGCGTTTTCCGACTGGCTTGAAGTACTGAAGCAAAATTGTGGTCAGAAGTGCGGCGGTAGCTGCAGCAGCGAAGACTATGGAGGCGACGAAATGTTCTTGTCTTAGGCGTTCAAGAACGTTGTGGATTTGCGTCACGACCATTTTAAAGATAGAGGATTATCTGAATAATGTAAATGTGTTGATACAAAGGTGAATAAAGATAGCATAACTGCAGTTTCAGAAAAAGATCAAACGCTTTTATCATGGCGTTGAAGGTTGAGCTGATAGCCATAGGGATTTGGATAGGGTCCATGTTCGGGATCGTTCCGACACCTTTTGGTTTGGCCAGGCGATTAACCCATGGTTTCGGAACCAAGCCGTTTCTAGTTTTAATTCCCCGACAGGCCTAGAACATTTTCGCAGTCGGCTAGAACACAAGATGCGATTGCAATCCTTTCATAGCACTTTTGGAAAGCGGTCCACATGATTTCCATGGTCGCCGCCATGGTTGCCGAGAGGGCCGTAAAATCAGGATTCCGGGCCGGCGGGCTCGGGGAGTCGGCGAGAGTGGGGCCGACGGACAACACGGCAAATGTGGATCTCCGGCGGAAAGAAGCTACCTTAGGCTGGGAGCTTTAAGTACGACTTGCCTCCGCGAGAGGTTGTGAAGACTTGGGAAAAGCTGTGGCACCCATTCGATTTCGAGTGACACCAGCCAGCGCCCTGCTTCAGGCCGCCATGCAGGCGCAGACGGGAAATTCGCCCCTCTTCAGGATCAAAAACTTTTTTTTTTTGGCGCCATCGCGATACCCGATCTGCCGATGTCTGCGACTGTGGCTCACGCGGTGGCCTACGGTCAGCGGCCCAATCACAACTGGGTTAGGAATCTCTCATAGTCTGTGACTTTGTAGCGCTCTGCGGTACCTTTGGAGAGGTCGCCAATGAATAATCTCCCAGCACAGCAGAGGGTGACAGTGAGAGTGGTTACACGTGTTGCCGCAGGTGACCTGGTTAGACAGGCTGCAGTAGGCTGCAGGACGACGATGCAGATCCCTGTTCGCCGCTGTGGTTTACTCTGTCTTGAGGTGTTGGAGAAGAGATGAAAAACGCGAGGGGGGTGGATCAGACCATAAGAATTAGAGGAGCCATTGGTGAGTCAATAATGGATCAACAGATGAAGCGTATCGCATCTTTGTGTGACGGCTTCGACACGTCTCGTCGATTCGAAAAAGAAAGGCTCATGAAAGAGGCGGTAAGGATGTGTTGGCGAGGGAGCGCTGGAGCGGGGAGGCCAGCCGGGCTGATCTCCACATGGGACGTTGCGGATGGGGGCATTGGGCGCACTCACTGACCTCGAGACTCAAGGCTCCAGACTCAAAAGTGACTTGCAGAAGCGAGAAAAGAGCTGAACCATGGCCGAGAAAATGCATGGCATAAGGTAGGTAGTATGGATACCTACTATGTAAGAGTGGATGATGGATGGGAAGAAAGTGCAGTGTGCAAGGTGAGTATGAAATGTTAGGTAAGCATACAATAAGGCATCCATACGTAAGCGCGGGCAATTTCGACAGGGTGCCGCGGTGGCCGGTCGGACACTTGGACCATGGGAGCTGAGGTGGAAACAACGGACCAGGGAAGCTACAGGGATGGCCGTAGCTGCTGCCCGTCGAGTTCCTTTTCGTCCCAATTGCAGCAATTGCCAATTTCACAGGCAGCTCGCCTCACCCTGTTCACCTCGTCTTAGTGGACCGCGACCGCTGGGCGACCCCGCCGCCATCTGAGGTGAGCCCAGCTTCCCCCATGTACTCCCTCCCTACGCAGCATCCGTAAGGTGTGCTGCGCTGCCAGCTGCCTCTCTGAACCAGGAAGGGCCTAGCTCCCAGTCCCCTTTCCCAGCGCCCATCGTCGTCCCAGATTGTGCGTGAGTGTTCCCAAATCCCCAGCCACCCTTTCCCTCCTTGCCTCCCATGGAAGGAAGTCTCTCCCCCCCTTCCACACTTTGAAGGCTTCCCACCACCCCCCCCCGCTCAGTCAGTTTTTTGGGGGAACACCCCCGGGATATAGCTTCACGGCCTGTCCCGCTTCGTCCAGTCGCTTATTCCTCAAAAAACAAAACAATAACATCGCCAGATTATTGTCTGCGCACTTCAAAGCACAAAGCCTCATCTTTAATTCACTACACCACCACACAATTCGACACCCCACGCCGTCGAACATTTCCATCATCAAATCGCGCCCGAACCACGAAAGAGCGACAGATGCGCACGACAGCTTTCGATACGCCTTCGCGACCATGATGCGAGATCCGCGTCGCCGGAGCCCAGAGAGCTCTCGGCGGCGAAGAAGAGACCGCCGTGATTCTCGCGAGCAACTCGCCAGCGCTGCCGACGAGAGCGTCGTATCGAGTATTCCTGGTCCATCATCTCGGGCCCCAACACAGCAGCAGCCTTTGCCGTCCGTCTATTCGCCGTCGCAATCGCAATACCCCCAATCCTATACCGAATCTCAGAGATACCCCGAAACCGAGAGATATGCCGCCCCTTCTGAGAGATATCCCGATTCTCAGAGATATGGCGAGCCCCAACGATACCCCCAACCCGACCAGTACCAACATCACCAACACCACCAGCCGCAACAACAGTATCCCCCTTCCGAGGCCTTCGTTCAGCCTCTAGGCTATGGCGAACCCGAACGACATGCCCAACCCCAGCCATACCAAGGAAACCATCAGTCCGAGAGGATGCGCCCGCGAGGCGGCTCCAGTTCTTCCTCGTCCTCCTCCACCTCCTCCTCCATGCTCAACATCTCAGCAAAGAGCCCTAAGTTTGGCGGCATCTTTAACACTTTCTTCAGAGCCCCCTCGGAGCAGCGCAAACGTCGCAGGAGGAAGAAGCAGAAGGCCCGCATTCTCTCCTTTGGCAATTCCTCCTCTTCGTCCGTCAATTCTGACATGGCTTACGGTCGCGGCTACATTGACCGCGACAAGAGTCAGCTTACGAGCCCCAGGCCACAGGGATACGCGAGTCCCTCGTTGTACCGCGCTGAACCGACTGACGCCCACCAACAACAACCGCGGCCCCCGATGCCTCGTGATAAGACCGACGAAGAAATTCTCGAGATTGGACGCCAACTGCAAGACATTGCGCGCAGGCAGAATGAGCATGACCTCAAGTCTGCTTCCAAGTCACGGGCGTCCCAGCTGGCCGGTACCGCGGCTGGTGCCGCAGCCGCAGCCGCCGCCTTCAGCCATTTCCGTAGTAAGAGTAAGAGCGACACCAAGACCAGAGGATCTGGCACTTCTAAACCTAATGAAAACGCTTCCTCCTCGGACGATGACTGGGAATCGGCGTCTGAAGATGAGTCTACTACTACGGATGATTCCGACAACGGCCTGGCGTATGGCTCCTCCATCAAGCCGTCCAAGTCGGCAAGAATTTCAAACGAGCCTCCGGAGCAGATCAAGCCACCCTCGCGGAGGAGTACCATTGTGGACCCACGCCTCTTCGGTCCCGTAAACTCTCTTCGCGGCGCCGTAAAAAGCCCATGCGGCTTTGGCGAAGAAGACCCCCGGTCCGCTGGCTCTTCCCGGCGCCACCACGAAGAGACGGTAGCGCAGGTCGAATCGCCCAAGACTGGGAAACAACCGATGCAGCGTATATACCCCGTGCCGACCTCAGACCCGGACAAGTTTGACTACGACCGTAGCTCTGTAACCTCATCCCGCCAGGATGTCCCTCAGCGTGCCCGGCCCGACCCAGTCCCCATCCAGCAGCCTATTCCCATTGTCCCTCTCCCGTCCAAGGTGTACGATGCAGAAAGATTCGAGGAGGAGGAGCGCCGGAACTCTAAGCAACCCCGCCAGCCGCCCAAGGGAAGAAGCGCTGCTGAGAATGCCATCGCTGGCGTAAGCATTGCCGCTGCGGCTATGGGTGTGACCATGGCTGCTAAACGTAGGGACTCGGGCGAGTACATGGAACGACGAGATGACCGTCGAAGTGAGGTACGGGACCATCATCGGAATGACTTCCGAGATTCTTGGCAAAGCCGTCGTATAGAGGAAGAGCCCGAACGCCCAGTACCAATTGAGCTGGAAGACCGCGATCCTCGTGATCAGAACGACCCCCGCCGGCCCCATAGACGCAACAACGTTGAGATCATCGACGACCGAGACAAGCGTCGGGCTGGCCGTTCTGATCCCGCCTATGAGGCCTTGAAGAAGCCCGACGTCGAGACTGACCCTCGCCCGGAGGTGTACAAGCTGCCCCAGGGTGACGAGATTCGAGTTGAGTACGACCCAAAAGATGACCACCGGCCACGTGAGGAACCAAAGGAACCTCGCAGGGATGACCGTAAGCCGGTGGTGGTCGTGGATGAACGCCGGGATGTGAAGCGGGTAGAGAAGCCGACTGAGGCGCCCCGAGAGAAACATGGGGTGGAGCATCCCGAGGCCCCCAATGCACAAGCCCCTATTGACCCTTTCCAGTTCCAGGTCGCTGATGATGCGTTCCAAACGCCAAAGTACGCCACTCCGAAGAGGCCACTGACTCCCCAGGTCGTGACCGTCGACCGCGAACCCAACTTTGACGATTCTCCGCCGAGGAAGCCCGACTACTCCGAATCCCGAATGAGCCGCAAAGACTCCTTTGAACTCGAGAAGCGTCTGGAGCAGTATCAGCAAGGAGCACGAGACCGTTCCCGGACCCCTGAGCCGCGCCGCCGGAGAGATTCTCTTCAGGAGGAACAGCATGCTGCAAAGTCCATCTACGATGAGGCCAAGCACGCTACCGTGCCTATAGCCGCGGCCGCCATTGCTTCTGCCATCGCCGTCGAAGAGGAGAGATCACGCAAGCATCGCAACGATCATGTGACCGAGGATGGCTCTCGCGACAGATCCCGAACTACCAAGGACGCCATACAGGAAGAGGCCGATCGGTACTACCGTGAGACTGTCATCGCCCGCAAGATCGCCAAGGACGAGATCCGCTCGCGCAGTGCGTCTCCTCATGATGAGTCTGTCGTCGGCAAGTGGCAGGACCACGATGAGGGCCCTGACATCGTTACCATCGTAACACCGCCCGAGATGGATCATCCTCACGACAAGAGCCCGTACGACGCCCCCAACGCCGATGTTCGCATAGATCATGTCATCATCCCCGACGAGCTTTCTCGCTTCCGTCTGCCTCACCGTCAACTCGATCCTGGCGCACAGCCAATCTTCCAGTCTCGCGATCCTTCTGCTGAGCGTGAGCGACCTCTGCTGAACCTCGTCTTACCCACACCCGTTGTTACCCCGCGCCACACGCCCGCCCCTGAAAAGCAAGCGCAGGAACAACCCTCCAGTAGAAGTAAAGAGCCTGTTCAACCACGATCCGTTACTTCAGCTGAGCCACCTTCTTCTGCGACCGCGCCTGCCACAGAAATCGTTTTTGGACCCAGAGGCGAGGTTGTGGAAAGGCCGACAACGCCCACAGCCAAGTCAGTCACTTGGGGCGAGAATGAGACCAAGAGCTTCCAGATCGAGAGCCCAGAGCCTCCAATCAAGGAGCTGTCCAGCACCTCTAGTAAGTCTAAGAAGAAGAAAAAGAAACTGGGCAAGAGTTCACCGTGGGGCATCATTGCTGCGGGCGTTGCCGGTGGAGCTGCAGCGGCTGCAGTCTCTGAAGCCTCTGAAGCCCCCAAGATGCGCGATCCTTTCGAGAGCAAGCCCGAAGAGGAAAGGGAGCGACACAGTCCCCCAGAGTCACCAAAGTCCCGCAGCGTTGAGCCTATGTCACCCATCATCGAAGCTGCCCCATCTAAGCTCACCACGTCGTTCGAAGATGACGCAGACTTGCCTCCCGCCCCAGGCCCCAAGCCTTCCAGCCCTCAGACGTCTAGGATGCCTGGCGCCTTTGCAGATGATCTAGAATTTGCCTCTGTGTTGGCGGCTGGTCTTCAAGACACTGGGTTTGATCCCAACATTGTCATCGACAACCCCACCTACATGCGTCGCGACAGCCCACCAGGACAAAGTGAGCCGGCCGTTTACCAGCAGCCGTTTGCCGAGACTGTCACCGACCTGGGCATCTATGGTCCCGATCATACCCATGATGGGCCCACTGCAGGCGACCGCGGCTTTGTCATTGGCGAGGTGCCAGAAACACCAGTCACAGAGAAGGAAATGCACAACGGCCACGCGACCGACTCTCCTCGTGAAAAAGAACGTCGTGACAAGGGCAAGGCTAAGGAGGTGCCATTCATCGAGCAGGAGCCGCCAGTTGAAGAGACTGAACCGTCGAGGAAGCTGAGCAAGAAGGAGAAGCGCAAGCAAAAGGCATCAAAAAGGCAAAGTCTCGACAACGTGCTACCTGAAGAGACGTATGGTGCCCCCGAACCAAGATCACAGCCCGAACCTGCTCCTTCGTCTGCACCGGCCCCTGTCTACGAAAGACCACACGGCTATGATGACGTTCCCGAAGCCACATCACGACCTGAGCCTAATCCATTTGCTCCGATGGATCATGCATACGCCAGACCTCACAGTTACCACGATGTCGCCGAAGCTGCACCACACCCTGCACACGCTCCATACTCGCAAGCAATGCCCGCCTACGCTAGACCTCACAGTTACTATGGCGAGCCTACAATGGCTTACCGAGACCAACCTGCTCCCTACGCAGAGACAGGCCCTTCTTATGAGAGGCCAAGCAGCTATTACGATACCCCTCAAAGTCCGGAAACCGTTGTGGCGCTTGGCCCGAAGACTCGTGGATTTCAAGACGCACCCACCTGGGATTTGCCCACTTCTTCTCTGACAACACACCCTCATGACGAGACTTCCGTCTCCAGAACGGTGGAGTCCGAAGCTGCCCCAACAGACCCTGAAGCCTCCACATCGGCGAAAACAAGAAAGAAGGACAAAAAGAAGAAGAGTCGTGGCTCGAGATCTGAAATCATTGTCACATATGACGATGATGAGCCAGAAACTCAAGAGCCATCTTCTTACAACGACCCGAGCACGTCCCGCGAGAAATTGCCTGAGAGGGATTCATACCGCTCTACCGAACCCCAAGAGGCCGGCGACGACGCATGGGATGAGCATGCGAAGAAGAAGAAGTCCAAGAAATCCAAGCAGAGCTCAGACGAATGGACAGACGTCGACAAACAGAGCGATTACACCGCGACCCCAACCGTCGAACGAAGCAGCACTCGCGACGATCTTGAAGACTGGGACGACCTCCCGGCCAAGTCTCAGCGGGACCGTTCCAAGTTCGAAGAGCGAGATGTGAGCTCTGTAGTATCTGACCCATCGAGCAGGCGAGACAAGTCCGAGCGCCGTTCCAAGAGTAGCCGGATTGACGACCGCGACGTGAGCTCAGTTGTCTCTGATCCTGCGAGCCGCCGCGACAAGTCAGATCGTCGATCCCGGAGCAGCCGATACGAGGACGCAGACACCAGTTCGGTGGTCTCTGACCCCTCAAGCCGGCGTGAAAAATCCGATCGCCGGTCCCGCAGCAGTCGCTTCGATGATAGGGATGCTAGTTCAGTTGTGTCCGATCCCGCCACACGGAGCGAAAAGTCAGAACGTCGTTCCAAGAGTCGCCGTGAGGACGATCGAGACGCAGCTTCCGTAACCTCTGACCGTTCGTCTCGTCGTGAGAAGTCTGACCGACACTCGAATGGAACTCGCTACGACGACGATGCCAGGTCGGTGGTGTCGGAAAGCTCCGAACGTAAGAGACGCAGCCGAGACGACAAGAAGAGTCCCAAGGAAGATGAGAAACGCAGTAGCGGCTTCTTTAACAACCTGTTTGGAAACAGAAGCAGCAAGGATGTTTCCAGCAAGGACGAGAAGTCGTCTTTTTTAGATAATGCCGGCACCCTTGGCGCGGGTGCCGGCTTGGCGAGCGCCGTGGCAGCTTTGGGCTCCATGATGTCCCGCTCCAACGCCACCGAACCGCAGTTGGAAGAGTCGTCAGATGCTCTTCAAGATCGCGAGAGATCCGCCAGTCCCCCGCGAGACCTAGACATCGTCGACCCTGAGATCGTGCCGCGGACTATTAGACCTGCCATCGACCCTCAGTACGGAGATTTCCTCCCCCTGCCACCCAGCCCAATGCCGCCCAGCACTCCTGGCTCTCCCACCCAGACAGACTTGGATGAACTTCCTGCCCTGCCCGACAGCCGGCCGGAGACGCCACCGGAGGAGCGGAGGCGTCAGCACGAGACCAAGACGCCAAAGACACACGCCCGCAAGCGTAGCAACATGGAGACACCGACCAGAAGCCCAAGTCAGACAGCCGTACCCTTCAAGCTGCGACTGGGGCAGAGGTCGACACCTTCGTCTCCAGGTACCTTCGGAGTCTCGCCTGTCACCTCGCCAGCGGTGCCGACGTTCCCCGAGACCACACACATCACCCCTCCTCATCCCGCTTCCCTGTCCAGGCGCCCCTCGAGGCCCATCTCGTGGGAGAACAGTCGCGAGATCAAGCCCCTCTACCTGCTTGAACAGGCTCGTCAGGAATCCGCAGCTCACTCAATGGAGCCACCCATTGATTTCCCAGAGCTGCCTCCAAGCGAGCCGTCATCGCGGGAATCTCCTGCACCAGAATTCACCCTGCGTGATGAGGATGTGAATTACTTCCATCAGCTTCAGGCATCGCCCTTTGAGCCTGACCTTCGTCTTGACACGGATATGTCGCGCTATCCTGAACAAACAACGCGCCGTTTCAGCTCGCAGGAAACCACTCCGAAGGCAGAGCACGCAGTCCAGCATGCCGGTGCCATGTTTGATGCGGCATCACCTGGCCTTCCCCCGTCTGCAGATACCGCCAGGGGGTTGGACTTGTCAGAGCATGAGCTAGAGAAGCTGCCCGCACTTCCTGCTAGCCCTATGACATCCCCGGCAACGGCCATTGCCAGTCCTACTCACCGTTCGAACATTCCGGAGTTCAAGTCAGGGCAGTTACCTGCTCTACCCGACAGCCCCGTGACACACGCAACTGAGATGCCCGAACCGGAACAAGTCGAGACGACGTCCAAAGAAAGAAGTTCGTATCTCCTACACATGACGCCCCCATCAATCATCAAAAATCTAATGGATCGTGACACACCAGACACACCATCAAGCCCTACACTGAACCGATCGCGCGATGTTGCCGCCAATTTGACCGAGATTGACCATGACGGCCACTCCCGCGATGATGCTATTGGCGCTCTACTGGGAGGTGCCGCGGCTGGTCTGGGAGCTGCGTATCTCGTAGACCGTCTCAAGTCTCACGACAAGTCAACAGAGATTGGTCGAGACGGAAAGACTTTGGATGCTCCCGAACCAGCGGAATTACCCGTAATCGAAGGCAGGATGTCCAAGAAAGACAAGAAAAAGAAGAAGAAGGGCAAGGGCGCGTCAGTCGATGGCATTGCCCTCCCTTCTGATGGGCCTACTTCTTCTGCTCTTACGCCAGATGTCGAAGAAGCGTTGGTGTCAGCGGAGCACCTCGCAATTGACTCCACCGACAAGGACTTCTTGCCATCAATCGATCAGACTCGCGCCATGCCAACCGAGGAGCCAGTTCACGCCTCAACTAGCAACACTATTGACGTTGCGCCAGTCGACAGATTTGTGGGGCCCTTGGCCGAGATTCCCTCAGTCGCTGTCTCCTCGAACGATGAGATTAATTTGGATGTTTTGCCACCGCTTCCTGCTGCGTCTGCCGACGAGCATGCGCTTCTCTCAGCCGATTTTGGTCCCTCAATTGATCGCGCCGATGACCCGCTGCTTTCAACTCAAGATACTCCGCCTGTGGAGCCCACTGTTCAGGCACCCCATGCAGTCGAGGACCTTCCAGCTGTGCTTGATGGCAGGCATCACGCCGGCAAATCCGTCGCGGAGGACGTACCTGTGGATCGCAGTGCTCTGGTCGAAGATGTCGCTCCCAAAACCGTTACATCTGAGCCTTTGCTCGAGGACGATGCGTCTGACAAGAAGCTCTCCAAGAAGGAGAGAAAAAAGCAACTCAAGATCAAGAAGGCTTGGGAGCAGGCTCAAGCCGAGATGCAGGAGCTTGAACGATCTGCCGAGCCGACTAAGCAGAACAGCAAAGCTGCCTCCGAAGCAGACACAACGCCGCAGCCCGCCCTCGCGCCTTTGTTTGAACAGACCGCGGAGACAACTGAAGCCGAGCGAGCCGCGGGTATCCCGCTACCCGAGGTCTCGGATGAGGTGTTCGAAGCTCCCCTGGAGTCCCTAGCTGACGTTCAGCCCACGCCCAAGCCGGAGATTGCTATCGAAACAAAGGCACCGTCCACTTTCCTACCCGCTATTGAACAAGCGGCGGCTATCCCTCTCCCTGATGCCTCAGACGAAGCCTTTGATACTCCTCTTGACTCCTTGGCCTCTATCGAGCACCAGCCTGACACCGCTCTCGACGCGAAGGCCCTGCCGACTTCTTTGCCAATCCTTGAACATGCTGCGGAGATCCGCGAGATCGAGCAAGCTTCAGCTGAACCGCTCTCTGAGAAGGTTGAAGACATGTCTCAGTCGAATATCAAGGAGGTGCCTGAAGAACCGGCCAAGGTCGAGGAGCAAGTCAATATCGAGGAGGTGCCCAAAAGTGAAGAGGATCTCTTTGCTGGCTTGAGCAAGAAGCAGAAAAAAAAGAAGATGGCAGCAATGGCAGCTGCTACTGCCGCGGCCGCGGCTGCCGCTAGTGTAACCAACGAAGCTCACTCTTCTGAAGCCAAGGAACCCCTCGTCTCCTCAAGTCCCCTTCCGGAAGCCGTCTCGGAGCCGCCAATTGATGCTGAGAAGGCAACGAAGATCACCACGGAAGCGGAAACAGCTGCAAGTGTTCCTCTTCCTGAGATCTCGAAACCTGTCCCAGAGACCTCTCCCGAGACTAGAGAATCTCTTGGACCAGACAATGCCCCCAAGGAGAAGGAGTCTTCCGATGTCGAGCTTGCCATTGCTGTTCCACTACCTGAGAATGTCGCTGAGTCGCTCGAACCGGAGGTTGAGCAGGCTCAGCCCGAACAGCAGACTGAGGCCGACGTGGACCCGTTTGCCGGCCTGAGTAACAAGCAGAAGAAGAAAAAGAAGGCTGAGATGAAGGCTGCAGCCGAAGCCGCTGAGGCTGCAGCCGTCGCCGCCGCCGCCGCCGTTCCGCCTCTTGAGCATGCCAACGAGTCGCTCGAACCGGATACGTCTCTCAAGCCAGTCGATGCCCCAAAGGAGAAGGAGTCTCCTGATGCCGAGCTCGCTGCTGCCATTCCACTACCTGAGCATGTCGACGACTTGCTTGAACCAGAGGTTGAAGAGGCCAAGCCCGAAGAAAAGCAAGAGCATGTCAAGGAGCTGCTTGACCCCGAAGTCGGACAAGCCAAACCTGAAGAGCAGCCCGAGGTTGAGGTGGACCCCTTTGCTGGCTTGAGCAACAAGCAGAAGAAGAAAAAGAAAGCCGAGATGAAGGCGGCCGCCGAGGCTGCTGAGGCTGCCGCCGCTATTGCCGCCACCGAAGCAGCCGAGGCTACTGCTGTTGACGCCGCCACTGTTCCACTTCCTGAGCATGTGGACGAATCACTAGGATTGGAGGCTGAACATCCGAAGACCGAAGAGCGACCAAATGTCGAGTACAAACCAGTGGTCGAGGAGAAGCCAGTGACCATGGAGAAGTCAGCGATCGAGGAGAAGCCGATGGAGGAGGTGGATCCCTTTGCTGGCCTCAGCAACAAACAGAAGAAAAAGAAGATGGCCGAGATGAAGGCGGCCGCAGAGGCCGCAGAGGCTGTTGCCACTAATGCCACCTCCGAAGTTGCCGCCGCCGCCGTTCCAATTCCTGACGAGCATGTCAACGAATCACTTGAATTGGAGGCTGGACGGCCCAAACCTGAGGAGCAGCTCGAGGTCGAGGAGAAAGCCGTGGTCGAGGAGAAGCCAATGGATGATGTGGACCCCTTCGCCGGCCTCAGCAATAAACAGAAGAAACAGAAGAAGGCCGAGATGAAGGCGGCCGCTGATGCTGCTGAACCCGCTGAGGTCAGCAGAGAAGTGGAAGTCGAACAGCCTACCGCCGCATCACCGGCGCAACCCATCGAAGAGAGCAATCTAGTCACCGAAGCAACTGCTACTCCTGAAACCAGCATCTCTCAAGCTAAGGAGGCCATTGAGCTTGACCAGCCTGCAACCACTTCTCTCGCAGACATCGAGGAGAAGAAGCCTGAAACAGAGCCGGAGCAGCTCAAGGCAGAGGAGGATCCGCTTGCAGGTTTGAGCAAGAAGCAGAGGAAGAAGAAACTGGCTGAGATGGCTGCTGCTGCTGAGGCTGCCGCTCAAGCTAGCGCTGGTCAAGCCAGCGAGACTCTGAAGGCGTCGGAAGTCCTTCCCGAGCCTTCTCTGGCACCCTCTGTCAATGTTCAGGAGGCCAAGGACACGGATGAAGCTGAACAGCTACCGGCACTTCCCGTCACGGAGGAGCCGGTTCCCGCCCCCGCCCTAGATGCGGTCCAAGAACCATTGCCTGATGTCAACAATTCCAAGGAGGAAGTCGAGACTGACTTGCCTGCTTCACCTCTGGTTCCTGACACTAAGAAGGGTAAAAAGAAGAAGAAGAGCAAGAAATCTTTGGATGCGACAAACGAAACTCTTCTATCTACTTCAGCCCTCGAGCCCTCAACTGTTTCTTCTCAACAAGACACTCCTACATTGGACATCGAAGCAAGGTCGCTTGGCACCACTAATGATGTTACATCCTTGCAACAAGAGTCCGCCCCTGAGGCGCCAGAAGCCAAGTCCGCTGAAATCCAGCAAAGCCTCCCTGACCAGCGACTCGATATCCGCGGCCCCCAAGAAAAGCTCGAAACACCATCGGAATCACTGCCGCCCCTCTCCGAATCTAACGACAAGTCACTCGGCCCATCTGACAGCTTGGCTGAGCAGCAGGTTGCAACTGTTGACCAAGACGTCAAGCCTGCCGACACCGACGTGGCGGCTGTTGACGAGACTCAGCCTGTACCTCTAGCACCAGAAGACAGCCCGGCCACGCTTGAAGACGACCCCTGGCAGCTAGACGAGGACCCATGGCAACAGCAACCTTCAGTCTTTGGCCAAGAAGACACTTCTGCTTCAAAGAGCGACGAGGTTTCGCAGCCACCGGCCGCTGATCAAATCATCGATGACACCCCGGTTGAACCGCTTGAGGCAGAGGTCCCAGCTGAAGCCGAGTCTACTTCCTTGTCCAAGAAGCAGAAGAAGAAGCTGAAGAAGTCCAAGAAGGACCAGACCGCCGAAGCTTTGAACGAACCTGAAGCAAAGCCTTCTTCCACCCAAACAGATGCAAGCATACAACCTTCTGCTGCGGAAGTGGACTTGGTACCGACCGATAACGACACTTCTCTAGCTGTCTCCGCAGAACCTGCTGTCGAGAACGCAATAGTCGAAGCGCCCGTCGCAAAAGCATTGGAGGAGACGTCCGTCTTACCCGATACTGAACCAGATGCTACCACCATTCCTCTACCTGAGGATGATACCGAGTTCGTTGAGCAGATCCCCCGACAAACTGTTGCCGAAGTGGATGTTGCAGGAGTGCCTCTTCCCGAATACGCTGCCGAGAAGACCGATGTATCTGAACCAGCTCCGACTGAGAAGGATGCAGCTGCAATCCCCCTTCCGGAGGATATTACCGAGAAAGCCTCCGTTCTTGCCCCTGAAACTTCTGACAATGTGCCAGCCATTGTTGACAACGCGATGGCAACTTCTGAGCCTAGTCTCACGGAGCCGCCACCGGCTGAGCCCATTCAGCCTGAGGCATCTGGCAAGAAAAAGAAAAAGAAGAAGAAGGGCAAGGGTGCTTCGCTGTCGCAGCTGGATGACGTGATGTCGTCTGAGTCGACTCCCCTCCATTCCCCAGGCGTTCAGACTCCTACCACTGAAGCTCCTACCAACAAGGCTCCCTTCAATGAGCCTGCTGCTACCGATGCCCTTATTGGCGAAGGTCCCGTCATCGACACCCCGGCGTTCGATGCTTGGGGAATCGAGAGCCCTGCTCCCGAGTACTTTGCTAAAGCTTCTGCCATTGATACTCCCTCTGTCGAGACTCCTTCCGTCGAGACTCCTGCCGTTGAGACCCCTGCCGTTGAGACTCCTGCCGTTGAGACTTCTATCGAGACTCCGGCTGCTGAGACTCCGGTCGTTGAGACTCCGGTTGTTGAGACCCCGGAGGTTGAGACTTCGACAGCGGCGGCAGAAGCGCCCGTATCGAATGTCTCAACTACAGACGCACTGGCTGAAGACCCGTCCAGCCAGAAAACCGTCACCGATACCGACGCTTCTGAAGCCATTCCTGTGGACGCACATCACCCAGAAGACACCAACTTTCAGACGGCCCCAGTCACGGCGGACACTCTCGAGGCCCCTACACCTTCTTCGCCTTCTACTGAGCAACAGCAAGATTCTGCTCCGACCGAGGAGACTTCTAAGTCACATAAAAAGTCGAAGAAACAGAAGAAGAAGGACAAGAAAGCACCCGAAGATAATGTCCAGGTGCCAAGCATCAACGAAGAGCTCCCTGCCGAACCCGCAAAGGGTACTTCATCCAATGCAACGATCGATGAGAAGTCCTCTGCGACTGACGCGCAGAAAGCCGACCAATCGCAGGAAATTGATATCAAGCCGACAGATTTCGCTGTAGAGGAGGCAACTCAAGTGGAACCTCAAACGCCAACAATGACCGAAAGCCAGGATGAGGCTTTCCTCACACCTCCGCAAGGGCCTGCGACTCCCATTAGCCCAGACGAGGTTTTCGAGAATGCTTCCCAGGAGCCGACACTTGTTGACAGCCAAGTTGACTCGCTTGAGTCCAAACCGCAAGAAACCTTCGCCGAGGACCAGCAGGATCGTGGTCCGGAGTCTCCAATTGAACCCGAAGCAGCATCATCCAAGAAGAGCAAGAAGAAGGCCAAGAAGGCTGCTGCAGCCGCCGCAGCAGCTGTCGCTGCCGCCATAACATTGGAGCCGGCCGTCGAGGACGCTACCAAGGATTCGGACAAGAAGGATACTAAGGACGAGACGGTTACGGACGAGTCAATCACAGACAAGACGGTCACAGACGTTGAAAACTCGAACACGACCATTTCAGACAAGATTGGGGAGATGGAGCAATCATCGCAAGAACCCACCGCGAGCGGAGAATTCGCTACGGACAGCAAGATTTCAGAGGAGGCAGACCCAGGACCAACTGTTACCAAAAAGGGAAAGAAGAAGAAGAAGGGCAAGAAGTCTTCCACCCTGGACCCGGAGAGTACCCTCGAAAACTCGGCAGATGTAGCGAATACAAGAGAACAGTCCGCTTATTTGACCTCTCCATCGGGAGAGCCTAGCAGTGACGAAATCCCCTTCCCGCAAGCAGACATGCCGACAGAGGCTGAGTGGCCGACTGCTACAACTGCGGGCAAGAAGAAGAGGAAATCCGTGACCTGGGCACCTGAACTGGAGTCTTTCTCGACCTTTGTTGAACCTAAGCCTGAAATGCCTCATGAAGGCGACGGTGGCTTGGAGACGACAAGCAACATCGAACGCGACTCCATATCTGAGGTATCTTCCACTGTCGAGCCAAGCTCGGCTCAGGATGCGTCAAGGGCAGGGGAGTTGCCCGAAGCAGGCAGTCCAGGCGATGTTCCGACCTCGCAAGGTTTAGAAGAGGATGTCGACCAACAAACAGCCACAGTTGTGGCGGAGAAGGATCTCGACTCTGATGGCCAAGCACAGATGCACCCTGCAGGCGAGCCCAGTGAGGAGGCCCTGCCCACACTGCAAGACACAACCGCGACCCCCAGCGATGATGTTCCGTCATCTCCTGGGCTGAACACAAGCACGCGGGGAGTTGCAGGCGAGCCAATGGATTCTCTGACCCGGGAGCCTTCAACGCCTGCCTTTTCCAGTGAAGGCGGCACTGAAGTGGCCAACGAGAAGGGCGGTGAGACATTAGAGCGGGAGCACGAGGTAGACGCGGAGCAGGTGGCTAGGGCCCAGGCTGGTGCAACATCGGACCCCGAAGCTGCGGGCCGCCCTGACACCATTGACGAACCATCAGCGGGATCCAACGCTCAAACGGGAGAGGTCGGCAGCCAGGACCCCGGCCTGCATGCGGGTGTGGAGCCGATTGACGACAAATCACTGGAGAACACGCAAAACAGGCGGATAGCGGATGACCAAGCCGTGGGACCGGCCCTCACCGACTCGGCCCTGGAGCTTCTGGAGGCTGGAGACCCACTTCAACCCCCGGTCACAGCCTTGGCGAACCAAGACACAAACACGGCGATCCCCCAACCTCTAGGACAGGGCACACAGGAGGGACGGGTACCCAGTCAGACATCATTGGAGGTTGGCAAAAAATCTGACGCGGGGATTACTGACTCTACTGCCGAGACCGAGACCCTTCTGCAAGACGTTCAACAACTAGACAAAATTTCAGACGTCGAAAAGAAGGAAGAAGAAAAGAAGGACCTGAGAGACGAATTCGATTCTCTCGCCGCCAATGTTGGATTCCCGGGTCAGTCAGATCTATCGGAATCTTTGGGTCAACCGATCTTGCCGGAGCCGCAAATAGAGCCGCTTTCGGAGACTCTTCCCGGCCTTGAACCAACAGGGGACCCGAGTACCACTCACGACCCCGAACAGACCGAAACACAAGTCGGTCAGGAAGACGACGTTGGTTCTGAGCCCTCAAGCTCGAGCAAGATGTCCAAGAAGGAAAAGAAGAGCAGCAAGAAGAAGACCAAGGCTGCAACATCTGAACCAATTCCTCAGGATGATGTCCAAAATCTCAAGTCACCGATTGTGGAAGATGGAGCCCCGGCTGTCAGGGCCGTTGACGAATCAGTCCAAGCACCGGAGCAGGCGGGGCCGAATGTCACGGACGCCCCGGAAGCAACCGCCGTAAGAGAAGCAATCGAGGCTGGCGAGGATGAATGGGCAATTCAACCAGCTGGCAAGAAGAGTAAAAAAGACAAAAAGAAAAAGGCTGCAGCTCAGGCATCTGCTGCAGTGGAAGAGCAGAGCACTGAGCCTTCGCCTGCGCCTGAAACGCGCGAGATTCCCGCCGAGCCTGAAGCGCCTTTACAGTCTTCAGTAGACCAAGCCTCCAAGGGTAATGATGCTGGCGACCACAAGTCAACAGAGGAGTCTGAGGACACCCCGGAGAGCGCAGAGCCCAAGCAAAGTGAAGAGGTTCGGGCCCCGGCGGAAAGCACATCAGACGAAGTTCAAAGTTCACCACAGCCAACGACAAATGATGAGCTGCCGGCCGAACCAGCAGAAGCCGACATCAATGACTTTGAGCCGACGAAGAAGAGCAAGAAGGACAAGAAAAAGAAGAAGAAGCAGCAAAGTCTTTCATTGGACGATAGCCAGGAACTCCCTCAGCTGGAGACTCCGCTAGAGGAATCTTCCTCTGCTTCACCTGACAACGCCCCTTTGCTTGGAGACGCAGCACAAATGCCATCTGAAGATGTGCAAGCTTCATCAGAGCCAGAGTCCAAAGGCCCGCTAAAGGCCGATGCTCAGGGCCTCTCGACTTCGAAGTCTGAGGAAGAACCACCGGCCCAGGACTCACCATCAACTTTGCAGCCTACCAACCTGGAAGCAGGAGCCTCCTCTGCCCCTATGGCTGAAGTATCCGAAGTCAAGCAGGAACTGCCATCAGAGCCTTCTGGCCTGACTGATCCTTCTCCAGCAACGCTCGAGACACCTGCAGATAACACCACTCCACTTGCAGAGGAAGAGTTCCCAGCTGTCACCAAGAAGTCCAAGAAGGATAAGAAGAAGAAGAAGAGTCTTGCTTCCGACACCCAAGATGAGCCGCCAGCCACGCCGGAAGCGCAGCTCGTGGCAAAGGAGATTGACCTATTAGAAGCACCGCAGACTTCTGAGCCACTAACAATGCCTGCCGTCACGCCGGCCGCAGAGGAGCCAAACCCCCAAGCCGTGGAGGAGGTGGCTACTCCACCAGAGGCAGCGGCGTACACCGAGTCACCAGCCGTTGTATCCGAAGATCCCATCTCTGAGGACCAAACGCCGACTACTGTGGAGGAGGAGCTTACCACCTCGAAGAAATCGAAGAAGGACAAGAAGAAGAGCAAGAAGGACACCGCGCAAGATATTCTGGAGGACTCTCCTGCTCCAGAGGCAGAAAGCAAGCCGGAATCGATACCCGCATCGCAGGTGGAGGAAGCTCGCGAAGAAGCCGTCGTTCCTGGTGGCGAAGCGATCGCCCAACCGAAGGAACCCGCGGAAGAGCCCATCGTCACGACTGAGCTTCCCGAGCAGCAAAAGGAAGAACCTGTCAAAGCAGAGCCTGAGCAAGAGAAGGGTATCGAAGAGACGGCGCCTCTGGAATCGGAGCAGCCTAAGGTCGAGGAGGATCCCTTCAAAGGCATGAGCAACAAACAGAAGAAGAAGAAGAAAGCAGAGATGGCCGCTGCCGCTGCCGCCCTGGCCGTTGCTCAGGAACCCACGCCTGCCGCCGAGGAACAAACCGCCGACTCCACGCCTGCTACTCTTGAGACCCCACCAGAGGCGCGGCCTACTGAGGAAACCGCTGCCGAGGAAACTTCTGCGCCAGAACCGCAAACTGCAGATGAAGTCAAGAGCGTGCCAGAGGTTACGCCGGAGTTGATGAAGTCTGAAGAGGATCCATTCAAGGGTATGAATAAGAAGCAAAAGAAGAAGAAGATGGCCGAGATGAAGGCGGCCGCTGAAGCCGCCGAGGCTGCTGCCACTGTCGAAGCTGTCGAGGTCGAGAAGCCCACGGAAGACGAAGCTGCCGCTGAGAAGCTTGTCGAGTCGCACCCCACAGAGGACTTGGTCGCTGAGAAAACCTCCACCGAGGAGGAGCTTACTGGGAAGGAGCCTGCCGTTGAGAAGCCTTCCGATGAGAAGTCTGCCGATGAGATCCCCATCGAGACACATTCCACAGACGACGCGTCCGGACTGGAAACTTCCACCGAGGACAAGACGCCTGTCGAAGAGATGACTTCTGACAAGACTACGATCGAGACGCCGACCAAGGAGCAGTCCGCCGTGGAGCCCGAACGCGCGGCGGAACCAGAACTTGTGTCAGAGGCAGTATCAGAGCCAGCCAAGGCAGACGAAGACCCTTTCAAGGGTATGAACAAGAAACAAAAGAAGAAGAAGATGGCCGAGATAGCTGCCGCCGCCAAGGCTGCCGAAGCTGCTGCCGCTGGTGAGGCTGTTTCTGAGGCCCAACAAGTACCTTCTGAGCCTGCTCCAGCCAAGCTCGTCGACGAGGAGCCTTTTGTTGAGGAGTCTGCTGCCAAGGAGACTGCAGCTGAGTCGAAGTTCGTGCCCGAACCGGAGCTCGAGCAGCCTCAAGTCGAAGAGGACCCTTTCGCTGGCCTGAGCCAAAAGGAAAAGGAGAAGAAATTGGCTGCAATGGCTGCTGCTGAGGCCGAAGAGAAGGCAGTTGAGCAGATGATTGGTGAGGACAAGGTTGCCGATAAGATACCTGCAGATGTCGCTCTTGAAGAGACTCCTGCTGAAGCCCCGACTGCCGAGGAGTCGACTCTTGCCGACAAACCTACCGACGAGAAGGCTGTTGAAGATGCCCCCGTTCCAGAGGTGCCCCAGGTCGAGGCTCAGGTCGAGGAGGACCCCTTCAAGGGCATGAACAAGAAGCAGAAAAAGAAGAAGATGGCTGAGATGGCCGCTGCTGCAGAGTTGGCTGCAGCCACTGCAGTTTCAGAGCTTGCCACTACAAAAGCTCCACAAGTCCCTGTAGAGAAGCCCGAGAAGGTGGCAGCTGAGAGCAAGATCGTCGAAGAGACTCCTGCAGAGGCAGCTGCCGAAGAGAAGCCCATCGACAAGTCCGAGCCGGCATCACCCATCGTCGAGGAGGACCCTTTCAAGGGCATGAACAAGAAACAGAAGAAGAAGAAGATGGCCGAAATGGCAGCAGCTGCTACTGCTGCAGCCGCCGCCGGGGTTATCGCAGCTGAAGTCAAGGATATCCAACACGACAAGGCTGCAGACGACGAGGCAGACATCTCATCCGAGCAGCCACCCGCACCTGAAGTAGAGACTGCCGCGACGTCTGAGGATGCTCCTAGGGATGCTAGTCCTGAGCTTCTTGAGGTGAAGGAGGCGTCAGAAAAGCCTGAGAGCCAGATCGATACTTCCGCAATTCCGGATGGCAATGTCGATGACGACTTCCCGATGATCGAGAAGAAGACGAAGAAAGACAAGAAGAAGAAGGGCAAGGCCTTGGAAATCCTTGAGCCTGGATCTGGCCCTTCGCCTGGTATTGCCGCCCAATCAAACGAACCTGTCGCAGAGCCTTCTATCGAGGCTATTGCTGAAAGCGTCCCGGAGCCTCCGCTGAGCGATCCTACTCTATCCACCGAGGACACACTTGCCGCAGTAGAGGAGCCTTCTTCGTCAATGCCAAGTGCCACAATCGACCAGTCTGCCGATCAGTCGATGCATCTCGAGAGCCCCAAAGCACCTATCGAGGAGCCTGCCAAAGAGGCCATCGAAACGATGGCAACAGACAAGCCTCACCTAGATGCCGATGTTGCTGCTGCCGCCGAGGAGTCTTCTCAAACTGTGGAGGATGATTTCTCCCCGAAGCTGTCTAAGAAGGATAAGAAAAAGAAGAAGAAGGGCAAGCTTCAGGACGACTCGGATCCCCCCTCTGGAACGGCAACACCCACCGTCTTGGAGCCTTCAGACCACCTTGATGTATCTACTCCTGATGTTCAAGAAGCACCGGCTGCCGCTAGCACCGATGTTCCTGCACCTGACTCAACCGAATCGACCAAAGAAACTTCGGTGGACATCTCGGAACCCCAGGTAGATGCCGTCACTGTAGACGTCAGAGAGACGGCGAAGGTGGAAAGCGAGCCCCCTTCTGTTACCAATGAGGCCGAGGAGGTGCACGTGGCCAATGCCGAGTTGCCGACCATTGATACAGATGCTACTTCAGCCCTAGTTGGAGACTATTCCGCTGAGATTCCCGCTGTGGCCCCCGTCGAGACCCCTGTTGAGACTTCTGCCGAGATTCCAAACATCGACGACGAATTTCCAGCCTTCCAGAAGAAGTCAAAGAAGGACAAGAAAAAGAAGAAGGGCAAGACTCAAGACGACATTGAGATCACATCGGGAGCTGCCACTCCAGCTGATGCACTCGAAGCTGAGAGGCATCAAATACAGTCGCCCGATATCTCTGTCGAGCCAGTCAAGACTCCTACAGATGCCAACTTCCCCGAGGCTGAGCCAATTTCCACCCCAATTCAAGAGGTGGAGGACCGTTCCGTGGCGGAAATCCTCGCGCTAGCGCCCTCGGCTGAAGCGAAGACTGTAATCGATCAAGATTCCATCGCTAAGGACTCCCAACTTCCAATCGACGCACCAGTTGAGGAAGAATGGCCCGAGAACGCGCCCGTCAAGAAATCTAAGAAGGACAAGAAGAAACAGAAGAAGTCCATGGCCGAGCAGGATTTCGATCTTGCATCTGGAACCGAGACACCGATGGAGACCACCGTTGAAGACAACGAAAAGGAAGTAGCACATATTGATGATGCTATGACTAGCGACACGCCCCTGACCTCCGATAGCAAGATGGCCTCAGATGTCCCGCTTGATAAGGCCTCAGTGGAAGCGTCACTTGAGGCTGACTCGACACAAGTATCAGCTCCAGAGGTAGTACAGCCTTCGTCATCGCAGGATGTCTCACAAGAACAGCTGGCGGCAGACATACAACAACCTTCTCCTGCACTCTTGGCCGAGAACCAACCTGAGCCATCAGCTTCTGTGAAATCAATCGAGCTTAAGCCCGAGGAGACTGCCGAAGAGACAGCGGCTGCCGAGGAGCCTTCAGAGTTCACAGTCAACAAGTCTAAGAAAGACAAGAAGAAGAAGAAGAAGTCTACTACATTGACGGAGCTTGAAACCCCTACTCCAATTGCCGAGGAGCAAGTGGCCACCTTGGAAAACACTACCACCGATCCCATCGAAAAGCCAAACACCGCAGGATCCATCTGGGAGAGCTCGGCCGTCGAGCCTGTGGAGGGAACGGCCTTGCCTGCTGAGGGGTCAGCCTCAGTGATTCCGGAGACTGAGCCCGCAACTGTCCACTCCCAGGATGCTCAGCCAAGACAGTTTGCAGAGTCCGACATGCCAACGACCACTCTGGACCTTGAATCCAAGCCAAAAGGACTGGACAGCCAGTCTGATGCTGCCCCTTCGACTGAGCAAGAATCCATCGCTCCCATCGCAGTTGAGAATTTGCCCGAGGGTGCTTCTGATCAAGTCCGTTCAGTCGAAAGTTCCAACGTCGTGGCCGCGCCAGAGGCCGCAGCTCCTGCTGATCTTGACGATTTCATGCCTGCGAAGAAGAGCAAAAAGGACAAGAAAAAGAAGAAGCGACAGAGCCTGGCATTCGACGACGTCGAACCCGAGTCGCCCCTGGCTTCTGGCACGGCAACACCTAAGCTTGAGTCGACGGAGCAGCAAGAAACCGAGCGAGCTTTCGATCAACAGCCTCTTCCAGCGGAAGATATCTCGACACACGAGGACCATGCTTCGAGCGACAAGCCGGCCTTCACGAGGGATGATCTCGCAACAGACAGATCCCTCGAATCCACTTCAGTGCCTCAACCCCTCCCCACTCTTGATGCCTCAGCTGGCCCCCAAATAATGGACGCCATGACACCTGAACGCCGAGAAGATCTCAACCAAGTTCAGACAATCTCTGAAGACACGCTGGCTACTGAATCTACGCCGCAGCAGGTTGTCGGTGACGAGACGATCTCAGTTGACCAGGTGGATGAAGTCTTGCCTAGCGCTCCAATGGATGTGTCTGAACAGGACGATAAGCGCCCCGTAGAGGCAACGAGCGCACCAGATGTTCGTGAAATTGCCCTCACGGAGGAACCTGAAGAGACCTTTGTCGTCAAGAAGTCTAAGAAAGACAAGAAAAAGCGCGCCAGCCAGGTGCAGTTTGAGGAGCCGGCCTCGCCCATCCTCGAGACCACCGAAGCTTCTGAGCAAGCCACCTTCGCCGAGCCAGGGCCTGAGGACATCTCTCGGGGGATCGTTCAGGAGCCCGAAGTCATCGACCTTGCACCGCAAGAACCCATTGCGGAGGAGTTCGTCTCCAAGAAGTCTAAGAAGGACAAGAAGAAGGCCAAGAGACTTTCCTTTGCGGATGAGCCAGAAACAATCGTTGAGGAGCAGGCCAGCGCCCCAGTCTTACCTCAAGGCGGCTCCGCCGCACTGGAGACGTCAAAGAACCTCCCGGTCACCGCTGCTGAGACGGATGTTGCGAAGGGCTCTATTTCATTGAAAGACCCAGGTCATCAGACAGCGGCTATGCTCGAACCAGAATTAATGACTGAACCTGTCGCTGCTGGTGATGATGAATGGGACATTCCCGCCACCAAGAAGTCGAAGAAGAACAAAAAGAGCAAGAAGCAGTCAATTTCACTGGATCGCTCTCCCATCAGCGCCAACTTACAGCCGGAACAAGAAACGACTGTGCCTGGACCTGGCCGAACTGAAGATACGAAAGACACGGTTGAGTATTTCGATAGTGCACCTCGCGAAATCACTCGAAGCCCTTCAGCGCCACCGCCTCCAGAAACCGCATCAGCCCTCGAATCACCTGCAGGCATAGTCCCCGAGCCTGTTGGTGTCAATACCACGTCTCCTACTTCGATTAAGTCAGTAGACATCGATCTCACTCCCGCACAGGAGACCAGCAACGTCGTTCATGAACTGCCCTTCGATCAGTCAAACAAACGCAAGAAGATGAAGACGAGAGAGTTGTCCGACACTCTCCTCCCCGAGCCGATTGTCAGCTCTAGAGATGTTGCTGCTGCGTACTCTGATGACCGCGAGACACCAGCAGCGGGCATCAGCAAGATTGAGGATGAGCTCCCTACCCCGGAAGCTGATACACCCCTTGGAAAAAATATTCCTGGGCACAGCGCGGGCAAAGATGAGCCTCTTCGGGAACCAGAGCCGGCTGCATCCCTTGACATCGCCGCTTCGTACATGGAGCACAAGTATGACCACAAGCCGGATGAATCTGTCCAGCCAACCACACCAGAGAAGAAGGCATCCGAGTCATCAGGCATCGGCGCCGCAGTCGGGGCAGCAGCAATGGCTGCCGGTGCGGCAGTCCTTGCTAGCAAACCGAGCAGCAGTAAGAAGAAGAAGGGAAAGAAGTCGAAGTACGAGGACAAGCGCGCAGCACAAGAGGAAGACATGTTTGATGATCCTTCTCTCTGGGAAGGTGCCGATAGGAAACATGTCAGCGAGATTGCAAGCAAAGAGGTGGAAGACTTTTGGGGCGGCGGCGAGAATACGGCCGATGACCAGCTACCTGAGCAGTCAACAAGAACAAGCATGATGGCGGACGACGTTTTCGGTCCCTCGCTTCAGCAACAGGAGGGCGTCCCCATTGAAGCACAGGAGACTATTGTCTATGAACAAGAGCCCAACGCGTCTCCAGTATCTCAAGGCTTGGTAGAGGACGTATCAAAAGGAAGGTCACAGGAGGAGGAACAGGCTAAGGATGTTCTGAGTCTCACAGCACCGCTCAAGGAGAAGGCTCAAGACGACAACATTGAGAGCCCGATTCTTGGCAAAGAAATCGGAACGGAGCAAGCGAGCGAGCCTGCCAACATCACGACACAACAACGCTCACTGAACCGGGGTACCAGGTCTCCCATGACAAACACCATGGTTAGCGATATGGATGAAGCAGTCGATCGTGGGTTCGAGGCTGAGGCCCGTCGCGATCTATTCGTTGGACGTTCACCAAACAGCCCTGAGCGGACCTTTGAGATGGGCGGTTTCCGGAGTCCGGTGCCGAGCATCTTGCCGCCCGTTCAGGAGGAGGGTCACGATGGAAGCGATATCGAACCTCGATTGCTGTACAGGCCTGCGTCTCGCACAACCACAGGCTCACCTGACCCAACACGAGACAGCGGCTTTGTACCCAGCTCGCCTCACCCTCTCAGAAGGGGAGGTTTTGATAATGAGGAGCAACGAGACAGCGGAGTTCATCTTCGGGATTGGCAGGAACAAAGATCACCGGGCCGCGATGGACAACGGACTCCAGAGTTGAGGTTTCACAAAAGTGAAAGACGACGATCTAGAGATCTGGAGAGAGTCAAGTCGCCGGAGAAGACCTCACTGATCGAAGGAGAGGCTCGCGATCACCCACTTTCCAGAACACCCGTATTGCGAGAGCCTGCAGGAAGGGAGTTGACTCCAGAGCCGCAGAAGCACAAACGGGGCATCAGCCCAGAGCTTGAGATGCGAAGAAACAAGTACCAGGACCTGGCGTCGGCTGCCTTGGCTGGTGCAGCAATCAGCAGCACAGTCTCGTCACCACGCAGCACTCCGCCACCAGGTAATCGCAGCGTTTCCGACAGGGTCGCACGGCTGCAGTCTCCAGCACCTACAGAGCCTATAGCGCGCAGGTCCATGTCCAACAGCAGCCTGTCACGGCACCGGCGGGCCACTGGGGCGCTAACGCCAGAACCACTCAAGTTCCGGCCTGAGAGCCCAGGCATCCAACGGTCAGGCACCGCCACCCCGCCTCTTCGCCGGGTCGACAGGCGTGTAAGCGGAGACTTGCGATCCATCAGCCAACGAAGTCAGCTTGACCTCAACAAGGACCCCAAGGACCCGACCAGCTCCTCAAACACCCCCGTCGCCAACGAAGGTCGTGTCCGTACCAAGGACATGGCCGACGTCTTCGTAAGTCACGCACATTTTTTATTCAATTATTACTCTCTATCTGCTTTATTGCCTCACCGCCTGCGATTCCCAGGTGGTGTTTGTTTCTAGCTGGAAGCGCTTGTGACAGCATCGCTAGCCACCGTCACGACGAACTTTGACTGACCTTCAATCGTAGGATGGATTCGGTGAAGGCCGCATCGGCTCTCCCCGATCGCCTACCCGTCCACACAGCATGCGACGTCGCCAGAGCATGCAAGTCCTCGAGCTCGAGTCCCGCGTCGAACAATTGATGGCGGAGAACCGCATGCTCACAGACGCCCGATCTCAGACCGATACCCACAACAGCAACAGAGCCTCTGGCATTCTGGCAGAGCGCGATGCCGAAATCGACGTTCTCAAGCAATCACTTGAGTTTCTACAAAAGGAGGTTGCCCGATTGACAGAGGTCAACGAGGGCTTGAACAGCGCCAATACCCAGCTTGCTGCCCAACACAATGAGCGTTACCGGTCATTGGAGACCCAGCACTCTGATGCCTCCAGGCAATTAGAGCAAGCGCGCACCGAGCATAACCACTTCCAGGAGTCACTGCTCCAAAAGGATGCCGAGATTGGCCGCCTACGCTCTGAGCTCGATGCGGCCAAGGACAAGATCCGACAGATGCAGCGCCAGATCCTGGCATCCAAGGGCGCTGACAGCGACTTCCTCAATGTCAAGGATGTCGACCACTTTGACCACAGATGTCAGCAGCTCTGCTCTCACGTACAGCAGTGGGTTCTGCGCTTCTCGAAGTTCTCTGACATGCGCGCCTGCCGCAAGACAAACGAGATCAATGACGAAAAGGTCATTGACCGTCTCGACAACGCCATCCTCGATGGCACCGATGTGGACACTTACCTCGGCGACCGTGTCAGGCGCCGAGATGTGTTCATGTCCATGACGATGAACATGATTTGGGAGTTTGTGTTCACTCGCTACCTCTTTGGCATGGACCGCGAGCAGCGACAAAAGCTCAAGTCGCTGGAAAAGCTGCTTACCGAGGTCGGCCCTCCTCCGGCCGTCCGACAATGGCGTGCCGTCACCCTGACGCTGCTCTCTAAGCGCCCCAGCTTCAAGCACCAGCGCGACCTCGACACCGAGGCCGTCGTCCAAGCCATCTTCCAAACGCTGTCCAGGGTCCTCCCTCCCCCTTCCAACCTGGAGGACCAGATTCAATCACAGCTGCGCCGTGTGATGCGGGAGGCCGTCGACCTCTCCATCGAGATGCGCACCCAGCGCGCCGAGTACATGATGCTCCCGCCGCTGCAACCAGAGTACGACGCCGACGGCGAGCTCGCCGAGACTGTCACGTTCAACGCGGCGCTCATGAACGAGCGCAGCGCCGACAAGTCTGCTACCAACGAGGCTCTCGAGGCCCAGAGCGCCGTTGTGCGTATCGTCTTGTTCCCACTCGTCGTCAAGAAGGGCGACGACGGCGGTAACAATGATGACGAGATTGTTGTGTGTCCTGCCCAGGTGCTGGTGGCTCGGCCCAAGGGCAAGTCCGTTAGGCTGTTTACGCCCGGGAGCGACGCTGGCGGTGCGTCGCTCGGCGGGCAGACGGCGGCCACGCACAGCGATCTCAGCATGGGAACTTTCTTGCCCGATCAAGCCTCCAACTTGCGGTAAAGGAGCTTGCCCTGGCGATGGATACCATGCCTGTGTGTGAAAGAGAAGAGAGAAAGAGTAATATACGAAGGGAAAAGATGGGTGTGATATAGATGTAATGGAACGGATGGAGGTCCCGGAGAACGGGTTGTGGGACAGTACATTATATGGGACGATTAAGTACATTGGTTTCAAGGGAAACGGGGATACCAAACCAACAAGAACAAACCCAAGATTACGACGTTTACGAAATATTCTCATTTTGTTCTGGCACATCGGGAGAGGGGACAGAACGGGACGGACGGGCAGGGAAGGGAAGGCTAAAAGAATGGCTTGTGTTGTTTTTTTCATTTTGGCAGAGTGCACGACGATACCTCTTGGGTTACTATTATTTCATACTTCGTATTATTTGATTTCATTCAATCGAAAAAAGATCCCGTTGCAGTTTGTGCTGTATCAGTCGTTCCCTTTTTGCCCCAACGAGTAGATGCACATTATCGAGTTCCGATGTCAAGTAAACTGTCCTGGTTCAAAGAAATTCTGGCTCGTGTAAGAGATTACTTCTATTACGCAAAACCCCATGCAGACACGTCACCTACATCATCCCCCAACTAAACTCCCTCCAGGCATTTCAGTCGTTCATGATGAACCATTAGTACATCCCCCATTGCTAGTCCTCCTCTATTAACACTCGTGACCAAGGGATGTCTTCCCATTCGTGAAACTTTTCTCCCTCTGTGGAAGACTTCGCCCCCATCAAACTCCGCATTACGCATAAATCAAAACCAAACAGACGTAAAACAAAATAGCCGTGGTATCGTGGGATCTTTTGAGCTTCAGCAGCCAGCAAGCAGTAGCTTTCCAACCCATTGCACATGGTCGCGCAAATGGTCGAATACATTGATGCAGCAAAATAAGCATAAACAGCAAGAAATATGCCCTCTTATATCCACGCTCATCGTTGAGCCCAGTGGAACCCGTTCACCAACCCGAGCGTTGGATCGTTGAAGCCGGAAATGTTCAGTTCGCCAGTATTAGGATCATGAGGGAAAAGACCGTTGATAACATCCTAGAAAGAAAAAGAAAAAAGTCAGTAAATTGCGAATTACTTGTGTTGCTATACGAGATGAACTTACCCAGTCTACGCCCTCGAGAGGGTTCATCATATTCATCGGTTGCGAGGGCCTGTGACCGCCCATACTGGCCCCGTCGCTGACACTTTCTGGACTGTCCGCGTTTACGGGTGGCATGCTCCAGATGGCCTCGCCGTTTGACACACCCGCAAAGACGATTCCTGGAGGCGGACCTTGCATCTGGGCGTTGGGCGGAGACGCCATCCCCGGAGACCCCATGCCGCTCATCGGTGAAGATTGTTGCATACCAGGACCACCCATGCCAGGCTCTGCTTTGAAGCCCATCGGCATGCCCTGTCCGGGATGTGGATGCTGGGCATTTTGTCCCCCCTGATTCTCGTTTCTCACGTTGACGGCCGTCTTGTTTAGCGGTGCTCGGGAGGTTCCTGTCGGCGCACGCATCTTGCGCATACTCTGGTATGTTGCCATTTTGCTCATAATCTCCCCCAAAATCTGCAAGCCCTTCATCTCAGGCGGTAGAGTCCGGTCTGTTCCGAAGACGTAATCCAGGCAAGCCCAGATACGGTCGGCCTCCCTGTTCTGCGGTCTGTAGTAGATTTCAGTGGCCAAGAGCAGAGCAATCTGGAATTGTTGGTAGGCGCCTAGATACCAGGCCCAGTCTCGGAATTGCGGGTCGTTTTCAAGCTGTATCGAGATCTCAATGATCATGATGCCAGAAGTGACGAGTAGGTTGTTGAGGCGGTGGGTCATGGGACTGTTGGCGTTGGCGTGGTAGGGGTGAAGGATCATGACGTGGAGGCGGTAGAGGAGCAGATTCATAACCAACTTCGCGTAGCGTTGAATAGGGATTTCGCCATCGAGTAAATGTTCGTACTTCTCCACCATTCGCCGCCTAAAGTTTTCAATCTTCTGGAGAACAGCAGTGAGTGTCGTTTTGCGTGTTTCGAGCCTGCGGCGGTCCAGCCAGATTACGCGCATCATCTCGTTGCACTCGGTCCGAATCGCTGATAGTAAAGAAGAGGTCCACACGTCTGCGGGCTCAGGGGGTGGTCCGGCAGCGTAAAAGTCTTCTTCTTCACAGTTAAGCGGGAGCTTGGTGTCGTAATCTTCCCTCCTGATAGCCGGCCTGGGGCCTTGCGCTTCGCAGGTACGGATATCGAGGAAGCAGAGTTGATGCCAGATGAGTCTACGAACGTGAGTGTCCAGAGGATTCAGTCCGTATGTCTCTCCGTCTCTGTGCAAGCCCATACACTCGGCCATCCTGACAGCGGCGCCGACCAGAACAGAGTGAGCTCGAGATACCTCGGCTCTGCAGAGCGGGAGCTGTGATTGATGTCAGTCACGAGCTTGCTGAAACACAAACAGGCGCAACGTACCATATACATGATGAAAGCCTGCATGGTCTCCACTCTAGTTGTGCGTAGGAAATTGGCCTTTCCGAGAGCTCTCTCTGTCTCGGTCTTCATTCGGTCGATCAAGTTGGCTTTGGTGACGCCAAACAACGTCCTTACTGTCGGATCGTCCATACTCACGGCGGCACTGAACCAAGCCGCAAACATGACGGCTTGAGTGGAGGCCCTGGGTTCAATGTTGCTGTAGACTTCATCCCAGAAGTTTACATACTCAGCCTCAAAGGACGGTCTGTGAACACATCGTGCAATGGGGTGAACTGCTGCAAAGTATTGTTGCGTGAGTCGATCAGCAGCCTCCTTTTGAGGTAATCTCCTATCAAGAGAGAGGGCCTCGGGGGTGTGGCCAAAGAAGAAGCCGCTCGAGGGGGGAATGTAGGATTCACCAGGCCTCAAAAAGTCGGGGATCGAGTCACCAGAGCTTCCGCTCACGACAGACATGGCATCCATGCCGGGTGGTGGACCACCAAAGCCGGGATACCCAGGAGGCGGTCCACCACGGGGCGGCCCGCCTCGTCCGGCCCCGCCCATGCCCCTACCGCCCATCATGGCCATCATTCCTCCCATACCACCCATCGGGCCACCCATCGGACCGCCCGGAGGTGGACCCCCAGGAGGACCGCCCGGGCCAGATATACCGGCCGAGATCTGACTGTTGCGTCAGAAAATCGCTAGCTCGAGACAAGTGATCAAGATTTGGGATTTAACTGGTGAAAAGTAAAAGTAGGATTGGACACACCTCTTCAGCTATTCTGGGTCTGGATAGGCCACCGATGCGCTCTGTGATACGCATGCGACCAACTTGTACACCCAGGTCAATGAGATCGTCGGTTCCGTCTGCGTCTTCTTCGTACGTGACATCGAGAGCCGTCATGTCTGTGGGCTCTAGATCGCGCTCCTCGGCAAAGTCGTCCTCGACATCGTCGGCGAGGATAGCTTGCTGCTGGGCGGCTCGGGACGTTTTGGCGACATCGCGCTCCAACTGGCGCTCCAATGATCCAACCTTCTCCTTGATCTCTGTCAGACGGAGCTGACTGGCCTCATCAAGCTTAGGGCTAAGGTAGACGCAGTCGCGCGAAAACTTCATGCAGTTGACACATGGCTGAGACTTGTTGCACTTGAGCTTCCTGCGCCGGCACTCGAGGCAGGACGTAATCATGCGCATGCGCCTCCGGATAGGCTTGGAGGCGGGACTAGGCGCTCCCGACACAGAGGCGGCCGGGGACGAAGGGCGGTTGGGTGGTAGACCGGTCATGCCGTGCGGCGCGGAAGATGTTGCTGAGCCCGGTGAGTGAGCGCCAGGCATGAGATCAGGGTTTGGTAGGACGCGGGGGCTCGTCATGGAAGGGCCTTGTGCGGTTGGGCTCACGGGATTGATCGAGTAGTACTGTGGCTGGCCATGGGGTGATTGCGCGGGTGTTTGTAAGTGAGAGTGGCCATGATGGTAGGCGTGTGCTTGTGCTTGAGCGTGCGAGTGCGCGTGTGCGTGGTCCATGGGCTGAGCCGAGTAGACGGCACCACCACCGGCGGCGGCGGCGGCAGCGGCAGCGGCAGCAGCATGACGTGCAGCGGAATAGTGCCCAGAATCCATTTGATGGTTGGTTGGCGGTTCGGGCGCCGGTCTGATCAGATCTCGGATTCTTGTCAATGGCCGAGCGTTTGGAAAAGGAGGGTGTTATGAGAGGCTGTCGGGATGAAAATCGAAGCAAACAAGACGGTCATTCGTTGAAGAGAGTCGAGGATGCGGTCCAAAGAGGATAGAAACTGGGAACGGTCGAGGGTTACCTGGGTGTTCCGGGGGGAGTTACGGACGTAAAAAGGGACGTGGGAAGCTACAGCGTACGGGTGCGAGCCGGGTAGCCAGTGGTGAACGGAGATATGTGAGAGGAGCGGGCGGGACATGCAGGAGAGTTGATTTTTAGTCTGGTCCCTGGTCCTGGTCCTGGTCCTTGTCGTGGTTGTGTGTGATGGTGCTTGCGGGTGGTGGACGACTAATCCCAGTCCGAAGGATTGAGATGGTGGTGATGGTGGTGGTTGGGTGGGCGAGTAGGCGAGCGAGGAGCCAAGTATGTGAGAGGAGGACAAGTTGGGGGTGGGCGCGCGCAAGCCTATGTAAGTGCCCATCCACGTAGGAATACAGCTCTCTCTCACCCTCTCACACAGACGCCGGTAGATGCGGAGGCCGGCGAAGAAGAGGGTATCCTCGATTGGGACTGGGTTTGAACTTGATTTGTGTCACTTCCTGTCCAACAACGGACAATAAGAGGACGAAAAGGAGGGGTGGAGGGGCGTGGCCGAAAAGGAAGCTACCTCGAGGTAAGAGACAGAGAGGGGGGGAGAAAGAGAAAGGAAGAGACACAAACGTGGGAGTGAGTGACATGGAAAAGAAGAAGAGAACAAGAGGTAGAACCAGCAGAGCAAGACACGAAACGAACGAAGCGTGTAACTGTTGCGGGAAGATGGGAGGATGGAGGATGGTGGGAGAGGTGTGTGGAGCAGAGTACGTGGTAGAGAAGAGCAGAGCAGGATGAAATGGCCCAGAACGACCTTCCCGCAAGGCAAGGTATGCGGTACCCGGTACTTCGAGCGGCCTAGACAAAGAGGGGATGGGGAGCACCGCACCTTCTCGCCGAGTCTCCGCATCTTTCGTACTGGCTTCTCAGTAGTGGCCGCAGCAGCACCCTCCTCGGGGAATCAGCGGGCAACGTTAGGTATCTAATAGTGGGCGCACAGCATATACTTACGCAGCAGAGTACCTGAGGTAAGGCAGCGGGACGGAGCAAGCGAGACCTGCTGGGCCGGTTCGCGTGTGCGACTGGGCGAGGAGATCCGCCGCAGGTACCGGGTACTTCCGCATGCGGGGGTTCGGCACCCCTGAGCTCTTTCTCTCTGCCCAAGACACACCTCCCGGGAAGGAATAGTTCATCGCAACATCACGCAACATGTTCAGGGCGTCGTGTCTTCGCTAATCTGCGCACAACACTGGTCTATAAAGATACTACGTATTTGCACCGTGTATCCGCGTTTTGATAAGTATCTTTCCAGAGACAGCTTGCCCTCCTCACCTACCTTAAGGTACTAAACATCTGGACTGGACGAAGTTACGAACCCTACGATAATCCCCCATGGAGGGACAAAAGCAGATAAGCTCCTTCTCTCGCCATGTCTCTCAATCTTCCCGAGAATGGAAGTACATGTCTCTCTCCGTCTTTCTCTCTCTCGCACTCTCTGGGCTGCCGTTCCCTCGACTCTGCTTAGCTGCCGACGGGAGAAGCTGGCGTCGGCGTTCCAAACCGTCCGGGACGTTCCCATCTTTCACTTCTTTCCTTTCTCTCTTCCTATCTTTTGCGGCGGTACTACCCGTACGGCGTGTGCGGATAACCATATGTCGTAGCTACCTGCGCCATGCTATGCCACCTATGAGGATGCCGCCATCCCGTGGCCATGCCGCAGCCTGTCCCGTGTCTGCCCTGTCTTGCGGCGTGCCTATCACTCAACTGTTATTACAGACGTGTCTTTGGATGAAGAGAAGCGAATGGGACAACGCTGCTCAACGTGCAGGGTTCTTTTGCTCTCGTTTATCATGGCACATACGGGATATCCGTCGCGTACGGAGCTACAAGTGTCCATACACTATGCCCGTACTGACCAACTCTAATCTTGCATCAACGTTTGCCTCTGAACCCTGAGTCTGTGAGTCTGTGAGTCTGAGTCCCTGACTTGAGTCTAATGAATGATAGACGGCGGGCCGGCCCCCCCATGCTACCATGTCCCCTCCAACCATGCGAGCCACGTTCGTCTGAGCAAAGGTCATATTAAGGTCAGAGGAGGCTAATGTCGCCTCAACGGGCCTACGGCAAATGTCAGTCGAGTTCTATGTCATCAGTCGCGAACCGACGCCGTCCACGCCCTCTCACTGGACACAGCCCACCCATCTCGTTTTCCTTTGCTTTCTTTTTGCGTGCTCATCTTTGCTGCACGTAATCAAGAGGGACGTGTTGGGGGAGATGGAAGGGGCACGCCAATTATGCCACGGCCGAAACGAACCCTTCTTTCTCTGCCTTTACCCTTTTCTGCCGCCTTTCCTGGGCTTCCTCTACCCGTACGGAGTTATGTACTCTCCAGGGCAGGTTGTATTAGCTCCAAGAAGTTGCAGCATCCTCCCCCTGCCCATCACATATCCTCAATCTCTGCCCGCCTCCGCCGCCCGTCAACCCCCCACCTCGATGAGCAAAAATTTGTCCAACAATGTCACGATTTGGGCATGAGCTGCCCCGATTCCATCCATTGAGGAAGAATCAAATGCCATGCAGATACGTCGCCCCTCCCCTCATTCCCCATCCGCGGACCGCAGCACCGCAGGTATCGCACGTCAGTTCCTCGAGGAGGAGTGGTAGGTACTCGTGGTACTATGTATGTATGTACGGAGTACCTACAGGCAATAGGGAGCTTGGGTACGAACTACGACGTAGGTACCGTAGCTCCAGTGCTCCACACGATGGCGCTGCTTCCATCCATCTTCCATACATTCCAGACCTCGTCTTAGGTTGTTCGTTTTTTCTTCTCAACCTCACACTGACAGACAATGCGTGGTCCACTCCCCCAACCTGACGAAGTGAGAGCCTCAAATGGTTAACCCAGAGTCTCATCCACCCAAATGCAGCGACGGTAGCATCACCTCTCCCACACACAATCTCTCTTTTGCTGCTCATCGCCTCACCTCACTCGCCTCTCTCTCTTATCGGCCCACCCCCTCCCACCCGAATATTCCGGCTTCCCGTCCACTAACAAACTTTGCCCGTTTTCTCTGCACTAGAGCCTACCTCAGTCTTTGACCGATATCGAAACACCTTTCTGCTAATGTCCAACCTATGTGCCTGGGCTGAGAGGGAAAAGGGCCCTAATGTAAGGTACGGGATGATTACATGATACACCCTTTGCAAATCTTTCGCCCCTTGATCATCGCCCCCTGGGTGACTACTAAGGTACTAGGTGTTGCTCTGAGTCTATTCAACTCACCTAGAACCAGTCATCCGGCCGCCTCCCCCGTTTCATAGGCCGCAAATGACTATGATTATCCCCCCTCTACCCCTCCGCCTCCCGTCCGTCCCGGGGGTGAGGTGTCAATCGACCGGGCGGCGCCGAACGAGGCTCTTAGCCCACCACATTCCCAACCTACTGTCCCATATTCCGCCCGCTGCCCGCAAAGGAAACAAACACATTCACGGGCGACGAGAGACAAAACCAAGACCCAGAACGTGAAAGAGCCCCAAAAATGATTGAAACCAAACGAATTCTTCAATTTAACCATTCTCCAACTTGGGACAATGGGAAACCAGAATCAAGGTTTTCCCTGTCTCATACCATTTAAACAAAGGAAAGAAGAAAAAAATGCACGAGACTTTTCGCGACCTCGCGACTTCCTCGGTTTCGAGCACCGGAAGGGATGTGTGTGTGTGTGTGTGTGTGTGTGTGTACCCACCCGCCCACCAACATGATCTCTCATTGTACGCATGCGGCCAGAAAAGTCGAACAAGCTCATACACACACACACTCTCTCTCTCTCTCTCTCCATCAACCAACCTTGCGACCCGGCCGAGAGCCCGTACGCCGTCAAAGGGAACCCAGTGGAATGCCGTCCGGCGCCGTCCTCCTCCTCCTGCTTGTTTCGCCCGCCTACTTTACCCTTTCATACATTCCAGCGTTCTTCGTTGCTGCGGCTCGCTGCAGAAGCTGCTATTTTTTCCCTCGTGGCAAAAGCTTTGAACGAACCGAATCAGCTTTCCCGCGCGATCACGAAACAAGGGGCCCTGTCACTCCCCTCTCCCATCCCATTGCAGAATTCCAATCGTGCTGGGCCGTGCCGCTCCTTTGCTGGTTGTAGATGCGAAAGGTACCTCACCTACCTTTTTACCTTCTTGTCCCACCACTCTTTCTGCCCACCATGATCGCCCTCGAGTACCACGGGCACACGCTACTCATCGTCTTCCCCCCCCTTTCACGTCTTTATTGCTGGGTCCGAATGACTTCATCTTGTATGTGTTTGATGTAGTATTTGAATATGTGTGAATGTGGGTGTGTTTGTATTATTCTCTAAAATACACCCAACCATCTACCATTTGCTCCTTTTCGGAGCCCCAATCGCCTCTCTGATCCGCTGGGCGTCCGGCATCCCTTCAGCCTCACGGCACCTCTTCCTCTCTAGTTCGGAATTGGCCTGCCTCCACCGTTGCAGCACCCGGGCGACGAGAGCCCTCTGCTCGGGTCCCCTAGACTGTCCTATTACATCAAGCAACCAGAGCAGGCGTTGCGTCCGCCCGAACTCGCCCTTCTTGAGCTCGCGCGTGGCCACCTTGGCGATGGCCGCCATCGAGCGGTTGCTGAGCGGCACCTTGTTGTTCCGGAGCCAGCTGATGCACCTGGACATATCTCGAAACGTGCTCCTCTCCGACCGATTCGTCGCGCTCGCGAACCACACCGTCATGTTTTCCATGAGAGCTTTCCTCCTGATCGAGAGCTCGTGCCGTTTCGCTTCGTACCGCTTCATCTTGCCGTCTCCGCAGTGTACTGCCCACCAAATGTCCCGGGATGTTACCGATTCGTCTCTGATCATGGACTTGATGTAGGGCACCCAAGCCGTCCAATGCCACTGTGACTCGATTCGGCTCTCCAGCTTCTTCTCGTGTGAGAGCAGGATCGACCTTAGCCTGAGGGCCGTCTTGTGATCATGACTGGCTGACGCGACTCGCATGAACGGCATGACAGGTATCGAATCCCTGGTTTCCGCAAAACGTTGCATCGAGACGATGAGCTGGTCCTGGCGGCCGAAGCGACTCAGCAGCTTCATGAGATTTTTGATTAGCCAGATATGTTCCCTCCTCAAATGCTTTGGTTTATCGTGCTCAATTTCGCAAATGCCGGCTACTAGGGCAGCGAGGCTCGAAGTCGCATGTCTGGACGATTCGCGGTCCCAGAATGCTGCGACAGCCTCGTGATCGCCTAGGTACCCACGGCTAGTCCACTGCTGGAGGACAAGCTCGCTGAGATCTCGGTCGTCGTGCCAGGGTAGCTCGCGGTCAAAGTATTTGGACCTGACGCAAGCGTCAAAGAGATAGACGGAGTCG